GAACCGGAACCACGTCTGATGATTAATCACCTTCCATTAACACCATAAATCCCCATGTCTGTATCCTTGATGCAGATCTGGAGTCAGTAACACTGTTTACAGACACTCAGACATAAAAACTGCAGCACAAAGAGATCAACTGTGGAGGTGATCTGCAGACACAAAGCGTGCATGCATTATATCCATGACAGCGTGCAGCACATGAGCATGTCTGTGGCGAGAAATCTGCTCTGTAAACGTAGAGGGAGGAAAGTCAATACCAGAGATTGTAGCTCTGAGACAATAGCTTCACAGCAGCTCTATTGTTCTGCTCAGGCTGGGTGAACTTTGTTTTAGATTTACAGCTGTATATTTAGAATACATTGTTTTCAGAGTGCAAAGCCCAATATAGTGCCCGTGCATAGACACACAACAGCCGTGGAGTGTTGTGCTTTTGCCTCAGAGCAGAGGCATCACTTTCAAGCTGAATCTGAGCTTTAAATGCTTGAAAAGACACACCGAGCAGCGTTTCGTAAGCTGTTAACTGGTTTTACTGGGAGAAAAACGAAATCTTCTCCTACCGTTGACAAAGTGCTGGAAGCTGTCAGTCCATTCAGACAACGTTCGGATCCTTCAGCGACTCAGGAGACCGGCTGGGAGTGAAGGCTCTGCGGGGACCGGCTGCTGTCTGTCACCGTGCATCCGCCGTGGTCTGTCTCCCGAGCCACTCTCTATTGTCTCCGCACTCGGCCGGCGGCCCCGCCCACCGCCTCTGACCTCCAATCAGAGCACAGAGCGTCAGTGACGCCTTCCAGGATTGCAGGAATTTACACGTTAGACCGAATTAAAATACAGATGTAAAACTGTCAACAGTAGTGGTTTACAATACTGCAAATTTTTGTATAAATCGCCGATACCATTATCAATACGTTTAACCTATAAAGGCACTTTTTACACTAAATCAGTGAGATTGGTATTTTCCATAATAATTAGTTAATAGAATAAAACACACATTTCAGCTTTTCATGTATTTTGAAACTGTTTTTTTGGAGACCTGGAATGTGCCTGTCTCTAAAACACTTGGGTCAACTTCTGTTAATGAAATGTGCTATAGGCTATAAATAAAATATATATGGTGGGTAGCACAAAAAAGTTCAGACATTTTATAGTGCATGTTTAAGCTATTTTTTTTAATGTAATTTTAAAATATTTTTAAAACTAAAAAATATATTTATTACAATTTAGTGTGCTACATACTGAACCTTTAGCATAAAAACAAACTTTCCATCCTATTGTCAGTCATCCAGGTCATTGTAGTTTGAGGAGAAAAGCATCTGGACCTCTTTAAGTTTCTTGAAGACATTTCACCTCTCGTCCAAGAAGCTTCTTCAGTTCCAGGAGAAATTGGTGGAGAGTCCCAGATTTTTAAGCGGAGTGTCCCTAATCATGAAAATGCACAGAAAATAAGATCAGACACAAACTAGGGAGAATCAGAAGGACAAACGGAACAATGTTGTCATCCC